CAGTTAGGTTCTATTTACTATCTATGCTATGCTTGGGAAAGCCGTGTTTAGAGTAGAGAGGAATTGAAGAGAGCATGATCTTAACCCTTAGGGGGAGCGGATTTGTGGTTAGGATAGGAATATACCTAGTCATCGTGCTTAATTAAATATCGTAATCTTAATGCGTTCTTAATAGATTGATTTCATAGGAATATAGGCGTTAATCTATTTTGAATAGGCGAGTAGTACTTCGAGAGAAGGTTATGAGAGCAATAATCGATTAATTAGCAACCATAAGTGAATTGTATGAGAGGGAGAGTTAACTAGAACACAATAAGATTGGTGAATCGATCACAACCCTGGAATATTTGTCTCTATTGAATACATAACAATCATTTTACTGCTTGATAATTTAGTTATTACTTAGAATTGTAGTTTAGTATAATCACACTCTTGAACTCGAATTTAGCTTGACTGAATAACAATATTGTTGAGTTAGTGGGTAGTTGATATAAGTCTTTGTGGGTTCGACACTCGACTTATCATTTTATTACTTGTACGACCACAAATACTTGCGTGTGCGTTTGGGAGCAACAAGTTTTTGGCGTCGTTGCCGGGGACTTGAATATTAACTACATTCTAGTTTTGCTTTAATTGTTTATTTAGTCAAGTCTAACGTTACTTGATTGTTTCTCGGATCTCAGGAACTTTGATTGAATGCGTAGAGTCAGAAGCCACGACCGACTTCAAGGCTTTGACCCTGAACTTGAGAGAACATTTCACAGGAGGTTGAGGGAAGCAAGGGATATGAATAATATTCAGGCACTCATTCAATTTCTTGGGAACATGGCAGAGGAGTAACAAATGATTGTTCAGGAGGTGGCGATGCCCAGCATTGCCAATGTCACCTCTAGCATTGTGAAGCCCATAATCACTAGGCACTTTGAGTTGAAACAAAGCATGATCCAGCTACTTCATGCGAATGGGTAGTTTATGGGTCTTCCACACAAGGATCCACAACAGCATATCCTGAACTTCTTGGAGATTAGTGACACTTATATCACTAACGGAGTCACTCCAGACTATGTGAGGCTCACACTTTTTCCATTCTCACTGTTGGGCGAAGCAAAGCGATGGCTGAAGGCAGAACCAGCTAATTCTATTACCTCATGGAATGATTTGGGAAGGAATTTTCTGGAAAGGTTCTTCCCTTCGGGCAAAACTGCAAAGATCAGAAGTGAGATAGTTGCCTTCAAACAGAAAGCAGGAGAGTCATTATACTCAGCTTGGGAGAGGTTCAAGGGGCTAATTAGAGACTTTCCTCATCACAATCAGACAAGAGAAGTATTAGCTCACACTTTCATAGAAGGTCTACATCCTGAAATAAAGATTATGGTAGAAGCTGCAGCTGGAGGTCAAGTGTTGGAGAAAAGCTTTGACGAGATATATGAATTATTGAACAAATTCTCTAAAAGCAATCCGGATTGGCAAGGAGAGATGGGCAGACACACTGTGCAAAAGTCCACAGGGGTTCTTGAGTTAGATGTCATCTCGGCATTATCAGCGCAGATTTCTACACTAACCAACCAATTCAATCAGATGACCTTGGTTATCAACACAACAAGCACAACCGGTACTACAGGTTCAAGTGTTCTGTGAAATATGTGGAGAGGGTCACACGAGCAACTTATGCCGCGCTAATCCAGAGTCTGTCTGCTTTGTGGGTAATGCAAATAGGGGCCAAACAAACCAATATGGTAACACTTATAATGCCAACTGGAGGAACCACCCAAACTTCTCTTGGGGTGGAAACCAACGCACTCAGAATCAATACAGGCCTCAAGCACCTCGACAGCAACATAGAACACCTCAGGCTGAACAACAAGCGGGTCCAACAAGTCACCTTGAAGACATGTTAAAAAAAGTGATGGATGAACATCAAGCCCTCGCTCAGAAATTTATGGCTAAGTAGCAAGCCCAAGCCTGCAACAATGAGAAATTTGGAGCGCCAAATGGGACAGCTTGCCAGTGCTCAAAACACTAGACCAGTTCGAGCTCTTCCAAGTGACACTGAAGCTAATCCTAAGGCATCCCTTAATGCCGTGTCGTTGAGGAATGGGAGACAATTAGAGGAAGTTCAATCGAAAAAGAGGAAACAGGTGACTTTTAATAAGAGGCCAGCCACTATAGAATCAACATCAGAAAAATCTAAGGAGTTAGAGAAGCCAGCTGGAGAGGCGGTGGCTGAGCAACCCCCACCATTGGTTGCAAGGCCACCACCTCCGTTCCCTCAAAGATTGCAGAAAGTAAAGGATAACGCCGCCTATAAAAAGTTTCTTGATATTTTGAAGCAGGTGCAAATTAATATTCCATTGGTTGACATCTTACAAGAAGTTCCCAAATATGCAAAGTACATCAAGGACATAGCCGCAAATAAAAGGAGGCTGATCGAGTTCGAAACCTGTGGCACTCACTGAGGAGTGCAGTTCAAGAATTCATGGCAAGTTGCCTCAGAAATTGAAGGATCCAGGTAGTTTCACTATCCAAATCTTGATTGGTAAACATGCTGTTGGGCAAGCTTTATGTGATCTTGGAGCAAACATCAATTTGATGCCGCCATCTGTGTTCAAACAGTTGGGGTTGGGTGATCCACGCCCAACAACAGTTATCTTACAGTTGGCTGATCGCTCCCTTGCTCATCCTGAAGGAGTGATTGAAGATGTGTTAGTTCAAGTGGGTTCTTTCATATTCCCTGCTGATTTCATTATCTTGGATTACGAGCCTAATTAGGAAGTCCCATTTATTTTGGGGCGTCCATCTTAGCCACGGGCCAAGCTATTATCGATGTCTGCGAAGGAAGGATGACAATGAGAGTGGGTGATCGAGCGGAGGTATTCAATGTTTATAATGCACTCAACTTACCAGCCCACTATGAAGAGCTATCCATGATTTCGGTGGTGGAAAGTGATGCTACATCATTAGTGCCTTATATGAGCCCTATAGATCCTCTTGAACGTGCTTTGATTGGGGATGAAGAAGATAGTAAAGATGAAATGATGGGAGAAATTGAGCAAGTACTTGATATGTCCTGCAATTATGTCCATGGGTTTCGAAAATTTGAGGAGTTGGACAGACCTATCACTCTGACCCCTCCTAAGCCATCTATTGAATAAGCCCCAAGGCTAGAACCTAAGCCTCTGCCAGCGCACCTGCGTTATGCTTATTTGAGGAACTCTAAGACATTGCCCGTGACTATCTCCTCCAGCTTGACTAACACTCAAGAAGAAAAATTGCTCAGAGTACTCCGCGAGCATAAAAAGGCTATTGGGTGGACTATTGCTGACATCAAGGGAATTAGTCCATAGTTTTGCATGTATAAAATCTTCTTGGAGGATGGACACCGCCCCAATATGGAGCAGCAGAGAAGGTTAAATCCCATTATGAAAGAGGTTGTGAAAAAGGATGTAATCAAATTGCTCGATGCAGGTATCATCTTTCCTATTTCTGACAGCAACTGGGTAAGCCCAGTTCAATGTGTGCCCAAAAAGGGGGGATGATTGTGATAGAGAATGAGAAAAATCAGCTAATTTCTACTCGCACTGTGACGGGGTGGAGAGTCTGCATTGATTATAGAAGGCTCAACAAAGCAACCCGCAAGGACCACTTTCCACTTCCATTCATTGACCAAATGCTAGATAGATTAGCCGGGCATGAATATTATTGCTTCCTTGATGGTTATTCGGGATACAATCAGATTGTCATATGCCCAGAGGACCAGGAGAAGACTACTTTCACTTGTCCTTATGGCGCTTTTGCCTTCAAGCGAATGTCGTTTGGTCTTTGTAATGCACCAGCCACTTTCCAGAGATGCATGATGGCTATTTTCACCTACATGGTGGAAAAATTTGTGGAAGTTTTTATGGATGATTTTTCAGTCTTTGGGTCGTCTTATGATGATTGGTTGAGGAATTTAAGCAAGGTGCTGTCCCTTTGTGAAGAAACAAATTTGGTACTGAATTGGGTAAAGTGCCATTTTATGGTGCAGGAAGTCATCGTGTTGGGTCACAGAGTGTCAAGGAGCGGCATTGAATTTGATAAGGCGAAGGTGGAGGCGGTTGAAAAATTACCTCCACCTATTTCAGTGAAGGGTGTCCGGAGTTTCTTGGGACACGTGGGATTCTATCGGCGCTTTATTAAAGGTTTTTCTAAAATTGCTACTCCTTTGTGCAGGTTGCTTGAAAAAGATGTGACATTCAACTTTGATGACGCCTGCCTCAAGGCATTCGAAGAACTCAAAAAGAAGTTGGTGTCTGCTCATATTATTGTGGCACCTAATTGGTCCTTACCATTTGAACTTATGTGTGATGCGAGTGACCATGCTATTGGGGCACTGCTAGGCCAGAGGAAGGACAAGGTGTTTTATTCCATCTACTATGCGAGTAAGACTCTTGATGATGCACATCTAAATTACACCACCACTGAAAAGGAGTTGTTAGCTGTTGTGTGGGCCTTTGAGAAATTTCGGGCATACTTGGCGGGAACGAAAGTCATAGTCCATACCGATCATGCAGCAATCAGGTATCTATTTACAAATAAGGAATCTAAAGCTAGATTGATGCGCTGGGTTTTGTTGCTGCAGGAAATTGATGTAGAAATACGAGATCGAAAGGGGACAAAGAACCAAGTAGCTGACCATCTATCAAGGCTGGAGAATCATGACCACTGGAGGAGGGTGGCAAAATTAAAGAAGTCTTTCCTGATGAGCAACTTTTTGCTATCACCCAAGACCTTCCCCATGGTACGCAGACTATGTGAATTATCTTGTGAGTGGGGTACTTCCTCCTGAAATTGAATCTGAAGCTAGAAAGAGGTTTCTACATGATGTGAACTTCTACTATTAGGATGAACCACATTTGTACAAGCAATGTGCTGATCATCTGATGAGGAGGTGCATTCCAGAAAATGAGGTAGAATTAGTGTTGTGTGATTGTCATGCATCACCTTATGGGGGGCATCATGGAAGAAATAGAACAGCTGCAAAGGTATTGCAATCCGATTTCTTTTGGCCAACTTTATTCAAGGATGCCCATGCGTTTGTTAAGAAGTGTGACCAATGTCAGAGAACAAGAACAATTACAAGGAGGCATGAGATGCCTTTGAATAACATCTTGGAAGTTGAGATTTTTGATGTGTGGGGGATAGATTTTATGGAACCATTCCCATCATCTAGAGGAAACAAATACATTTTGCTAGCAGTTGACTACGTGTCAAAATGGGTGGAGACAATTGCCTTGCAAACAAATGATGTCATGGTGGTAGCTGCATTTGTGAAAAAGAACATATTTTCGAGGTTTGGGACTCCACGTGCCTTAATTAGTGATGAGGGGGCTCATTTTTGCAATTGGTTGTTGAATAACTTGCTAGCTAAATATGGAGTTCGCCAAGAGTTGCTACAGCATATCATCCTCAAACAAGTGGGCAAGATGAAGTGTCAAATAGAGAAATAAAGCAAATAATAGAGAAGACGGTGAGTGTGAATAGGAAGGATTGGGCTGCAAAGTTAGATGATGCCTTATGGGCGTATAGAACTGCATATAAGACGCCAATTGGGGCGTCCCCATATAAGCTTGTTTATGGGAAGGCATGTCACTTGCCCGTTGAACTTGAACACAAAGCATACTTGGCCATTAAGAAGCTGAACATATACCTTGAAGCCGCAGGCGAGAAAAGACTTTTGCAGTTGAATGAGTTAGATGAGTTCAGGCTGCACTCTTATGAAAATGCTAAGCTTTATAAAGAAAAGACAAAAAGATGGCATGACAAGCACATCAAGCCGCGTCACTTCGAGCCAGGCCAAAAGGTATCATTATTCAATTCTAGGCTAAGGTTATTTCCTGGAAAACTAAAATTGAGATGGTCATGCCCGTTTGAGGTGGTGAGAGTCACTCCTTATGGTGCAATTGAGCTGCGAGCTTTAAATGGTGAAAGGTAATTATTGGTGAATGGACATAGAGTCAAGCACTATTAGGGAGGAATAATTAATCGTGAGAAGACCAAGGTTGTACTCGCTGATGAGTAAGCGAGACTCTGCATCATGTCGCGACGTTAAATCAGGCGTTTGTTGGGAGACAACCAAATTTTTATTGCTTTTCTAGTTTAACTTCTTAACTTGTATTTTCTTTGTAGGCGTAGAAACTATAAGTTTATTGGTGTAGAAGATGTAAATTGGGTATATATTCCTCCATTGTTGAATTAGAAGCACACACTTTATGCCCACAAGGTGTTTGTTAAAATGATTGAATGAAAATTTTGGTGTACCGGTTAAGTCTGAGTAAGCGGATATATTTGTGTATGAATTTGGGCTATGTGTGGGGTGTGTAGGGATTCTTTTACATGCTAGGAGGTTTGGCTTTGATGCAAAACATGTTCCTATATCATCTATCTCATATAATGTATGTTGTAGAATCTTGTAAATTTAACTAATTTAGTGTCGTCTAGTATTTGTGGAAAGGTAAGTACCATATGCCTTTTGCTTACCTTAATGTGAATTCACGTAGCCATGATCAATCACTATTGTGTGGCATGGGGAAGTCTTGAGTACCCATAGCTTTGGAGTGCAACACTTGTACATGTTAGATCAAAAATTGTAAAGTATTGTACAATGTGCCTTCGGTTTTAAGTGTGGGGTCATTTCATGACTTGCACGACAACATTAGGCATATTTCTTGACAAGTTCTCACATTCATGCTTATTTGTGTTGTATTATATTATGGCTTGTGATGGTTCTAGCAAAGGCAAGGGCATTGGAAAGTCCTCCACCACTCCCCAGCGCCCAAAAATCGAAAGCAGGGAGAAAGCTCTTCACGGCAATCCAAAGGAAAACAGGTTGCTGAGGCATCACAACAAGCTCTATTACCCCCACGGCCTCGGTTGAAGCTAGTATCTGATGCAGCTATTGCATGGCACAAGGATTTCGTGCCATATGGGCAGTATGTCTCCAAGATTGGGATCAATATCAAAGCTTTGGAACGAAACTTCCCGGATGTCCTCAGCCGATTACGAGCATTAAAAATGGACAAACTCCTAGAATGCCCTGGTCACACAAATATGAGCATGGTTGGGGAATTATATGCTAATTGGAATTACAAATTGTCTAGGTCGCATGTACGTGGCGTAGACATGCCATTAGATAGAAGGGCGTTATGTGATTTTCTGGGGGTTGAGAATGTTGACCCGAGGAGGCTCCAAAAATTTGTCATGAGCCCCAAATACACCTTGATACATCATACTCTTTGTGGCGTGATTCCAATGCAAAGTGGATCAAGAAGCACGGCGATGTTCACCTCTCAATGGTTCGTCTGATTTTAACAAGAGTGCCAAAGTGTGGCAGAATTTTGTCAGCAGCGACTGCAATCGAGCTAGAGTGTGTGTCATATTATTCTTGATAACTGGCAGACCCATTAATGTGGGTGAGATTATGCTCGGTGAGATGGCCCGCACGAGATTTGGGCGGTAAATTAAGAGGTTCTTCTTTGGCAACCTACTCACATGATATATGCTCTCCCGGGAGGCGCCGGAGTATCCTGGACATGATGAGGTGGTGGAGGCTCCGTCAGGGCTTTTGGACATCACATCTCTATTGGAGATGTCGTAAAAACTCACTCCCGCAGCACGGATTGAACGAGATGAGAACTTCAACAGGTACCTCTATAATTCTCTGAATTTACTCATGAGCAGGACTAGTATTTCAGACGAGGAGCGTATGCATTTACGCAATGACTTGTCAAGTT